AAAGAAAGAAAGAAAGAAAGAAAGAAAGAAAGAAAGAAAGAAAGAAAGAAAATGCACCACAGTCTTGCCTGAAAGGGGCATTTCTCAACTGAGTTTCTCTCTTCTCATGACTCCAGCTGGTGTCATGCCTCCCGTGTTGGAGAGTCGGAGCATCCAAGTTACTTCACTGAGGGCCCCGCAAGCTCATATTCTGACAGCCTGTGCTGTGTCCCTCCATTACGGTGAGTTTCCGATGTTGAGTCTGACCACAGCTGCGCCCTCTAGTGCTCCTAATGAGACTAAGCTGGGTACTCCGGGGGAGCACAGCCAGAAGGACTTTTCCTCTCTGCAGTTCTGTTTCAGAATGCATGGCAAAAAGGGCCCAGCTGGGGAGCTGGGCAGGAGGGCTCTGCAGGCTCACCACACACAGAGTGGGGCGTAAGCACAGAGACTTCCATAGTTTAACATGGCTCACAAGGCCCCACAGTGCCTACTGGAACACCGGGTGAAATGAACAGGTCACAGGTCCCCACACCATGATGTTCCCATTCCAGATGACACAGCATGGATAACCATGTTGGAGCCGCAAAAGAATTCAGCCTTGGTTGGGGATAGTGTGTTCTAATGGGGCTGAACCCAGAGTAGGCACCCTGTGCATTGTGTGCTAGATGACAGCTCTGCCAACGTCCTGTGGGTGACACAGCACAGAGCAGGGCAGGAACAGGACCCCAGATCAGAGTGACACTCACTGAACAGGAGAAGGTCCTGGCAGGTGTTCGGGGTTACATCCCAGAACAGGTCTTCCTGGCCCAGCTCTAGCTCCAGCTCTTCCCAGTCTTCCAAAGTGAAGTCCATTGCTACATCTTTGAGGGTGACAAACTCCTGAAATGAAGCACACTGTCAATCACTCAGGGGCCACCATGAGCCCTCAGCAGGACTCACCTTTTAGGTAAAGACACAGGGTCTTGGTTAAGTGACAGAATGTCAAGTCACACAGGATGAAACACAGGTCTGCCAACACTAAAATTCATCTACTTCTTAGTTTAAGATTTTAAAGAGCCAGGTGTGGTGGCATTGCCTTTAATCACAGCACTTGAGAGGTAGTGTTAGATGGATCTCTGGGAGTTCAAGGCTTGCCTGGGCTACCCAGAAAGTTCCAAGACAACCAGGACTATGTAGAGAGGGGGGGAAAGTAAAATAATAATAATAAAGTTTTTTGTTTATTTTGTTTTCTGAGATAGGGAATCCCTGATTCTTTTGGAACTAACTCTTTGGACCAGGCTAACCTGGAATTCATAAAGATCCACCTGCCTCTGCCTCCCAAGTGCTGAGATTAAAGGGTGCGCCAGCCACCACACCTGGCCAAAAAGTGAAACTGTTTGAAATTTTTGCTTTTGTTTTTATTGTTTAGAGACAGCATCTTACTCCGTAACTCAGGCAGACTCACAGCAGTCTTCCAGCCCTAACCTCCTGGGTGCTGGGATTATAAGCACAAACCACCACACTTGGCTTTGTCTTCTTTGTGGAAATTTCCAAACACAGAAATGTAATATGATTTATCTTGTGTGCCTGGCCCATTAAAGGATTCCCAGTTGCTAGTCAACTGGCCCTTTAAGAATTCTTAGCCATTAGAACTGCTTGACCCTATGACCTTCAGTGCTGGTTACCGCTTGGGTTTCTAGAAACAGGAGAGAATATAAAAAAGCCAGCTGAGGCTGAGAAACAGAATTGAGCTACTGGAGTGAGAAGGCGGCTGGGGCAGAAGATATTGTTGGGAGATAGCTGAATCAGGAGAAGCCGAACTGAGCAGATAGGCTGCAACAGTTGTTATAGTTTGGAGCTGCTAGTATTGAGACAACTGGGAGAAGGGACTGTTTAAACACACGGTTGGGGAACTTGAGGGAGGAATGGCTGGAAACTGGGAGGAAGGGTTGAAAAAGAAATTAGATTCAAGGATTCTCTCTCTCCCCTCTATCTTTTTTCTCTCCTACCTAGTGTTATCTGGTGAAGCCAAACGGATGAAGGGTGGGAAAAAGAAGAACCTACAATGTAGCGAAGAATAAATACAAATGGCCCCAAGACTAGATAGTAGTGTCGCCCAAGCTAGGGCAGTTTGTTTGTAGAAAAAAGAAACATTAGAAGGAAAAAAAAAAGAGGGGGGAGGGGTGTCACAGGCTCTTTAGACAAACAGCCAATGCTTTTTTTTTTTTTTTTCCAGCCATTGCTCTTAACCTCTGAGCCATCTCTCTAGACCAAGGCCAGCCTGTTCTAATTAGTAAGTTCCAGGTTAGCCAGGACTGCACAGTGAAACTCTGTCTCACAAACAACTACACCCTAAAATTGAAACTATACAGATCTGGGGCTGAAGCCCTCGCTCAGTGATTGAGAACATTTACTGCTCTTGCAGAGGAGCCACATTTGGGCAACAGCGCCACCACGGTGGCTGGAACTGTGAGTGTTACATCCCTTCTGATCTGTGAATGTGCCAAACACACGTGGTACACATACATACACGTGAAAGGGTTAGACTAACTTTCTAACCTGTATGTCTCCTAAAGCCTATAGTTTTGAGTTTTAGCTAAAGCCTCTTAGTACCTTTCCAGAGAACGGAGAAATGTGACCCTATCTGTTAGGACAGATAGGAAAAAAGCAAGCAAGCGATGACCTTCACTCAGCAAAAAGAAGGACCAGACCCTTGTCTTTGAGATAGTGTTTCTTAGCAACCAACCCAGACGGCCTCAATCCTTCTTCTGAGTAGTTCCTGACCTCCAGCCAAAAGTCCGCAGCCCCAATCTTCAAGGATGAGCTAACCACCTCACCTTCAATTGCAGCCGCATCCACACTTGGCAGGACTGGCCAAGCTTGAGCACCTAAGACTAACCAATTATCTTACTTTATAGCTTCCTCATCCAATCCTAAATTGCTAAGACTGCAACTTCAAATTTCCCGCAATTTTTCTTTTAAAAACCTAAAGGCCTTTGTCTGCCTTTGTCTCCTGGTGCCACTCTTTGCTGACCAGCAGGGGTGACCCCATTGCACAGTGGTTAAAATAAACCTCTTGCTTTTGCATCGAGTTGTGGTCTGTGGGGGTTTCTGGGAAGGGATGTTGAACTCCTGAGCTGTGAGATCCCAGGTCTTACACATGTAGGCAAAGTATACAGAAAAAATAAAAATAAACCTTTAAAATGTATCTAGAGCAGTGGTTCTCAACCCGTGGGTCACGACCCTTCTGGGGGTTGTTCAACTTATTTAAGACCATCGGTAAACACAGATATTTACATTATGATTCGTACAGTAGCAAAATGATGTTTATGAAGTAGCAATGAAGATAATTTTACAGTTGGGGTCACCACATCAGGAACTGTGTTAAGGGGCACTAGGAAGGCCGAGAACCACTGATACAGAGGTACTAACTAGATGCTGTTTTTATAGCTCCTTTCAGAAGGCCTAGGCCCTGCATCTGGCTATATGACAACAGGCATCTGGTCTGACTACATCTGGTTTTTCCATGCTTTCTAAGTTACTTTTCTATTGCTGTGATAAAATGCCATTACCATGACAACTTACAAAAGAAAACAGTTAATTGGGTTTACTATTCCAAAGGGTTGGAATCCATGATCGTGGAGTGAAGCAACAGCTGAGAGCTCACATCTCAAACCTCAAGCAGGAGGCAGAGGGCACATTGGGGATAGTGGGAAGTTCTTGAAATCTTAAAAATTCCTTCTTCAACAGGGCCACACCTCCTAATCCTTTCCAAATTGTTCCACTAACCTGGAACATGATTCAAACATGAGACTATGGGGCCCATTCTCATTCAAACCACCACACTGACTAAAAGACCCTATATTCTGGATGTGACGCTTGTGTCCTTTTGGTACCATCTGGCTCTCCCCCTGCCCTAGGTGTTTCCTGTATACAGGAGACTTAGGCATAACATCTGAATTCAAGGCCATCTTGAGTTACAGAGTGAGGTCCCATATTAAGCCATCTCTCCCCCTCGAAAGATTGCTTGGGAATCACAGTGAACATGGAACAAAGGAATGCTGGATTTCCTTTGGGAGTGATTCTGTTAAGACAAAGAGACTTCAACTTACCTCAGCCATAGCTGCCTGATTTTAGTGACCTTTTTAAAGTTCTTCCTCCTTCCCCTCCATGTTTCCAGCTAGCATTGCTGCAGAAGAACTAAGAGAAAGTCTCCCATCCTTCTATGGCTGATTTCCTGTTCATGCTGACTGTGTCTCCAAAATACCACAAATAGAAAGACAACATGAGCCTGCTGTAGGAATCACAGTGGCAACTGTATTTACTGAAACGATCCCCACCCCTAAAATTCCATCATGCTTCAGAACCTGCAGAACAACTCACAACCATTTCTGACACGTAACTCTAGCAGGACCTTCAGACCTGCCAGCAGTAAAAATAATGACACAGAGGCTTTTTGGTATTTTAAAGCTTAGGCATTTTAGCTGGGCAGGTTCACAGCAAGCTTTCTGGCTTAACCCAACTAGTCCTGGCATTATGTCCCACCACATGGCCAGCTCTATCTCGGCCCCACTCTGTGTCCTTTAACCTCTGTGTCCCATTCATGCCCTTGGTTTCTTTCCCAGAGCTCCTATCTTTCCAGGAAGTTCCATCCTCCACCCTGCCCAGTTATTAGCTGTCAGCTCTTTATTACAGCCAATAGACAAGTGAGGAAGGACAAGTACTTACAAAAGATGAGACGGGCGGTGGGCCATGGAAATGACAATGCAAAGACTGGACTGGTGTTTAGTAGCTCTGTCTGTCTACCCGTCAACAACTCAGTACACAGAGACACACCTTCACACAGCTCCCCCGTCTAGTCCAACAAACAGATTTTTCTTTAACATTAATAAACTATATACAATATGAACAATTATGAGAAGAATCAGGTGAAAACTATATTCACAATTTCCAGTTCATTTCAATTTAGCCTAAACAACTTAAGCATTTATGTCTTTATCTTTCTAAATCTAATAACCAGGAAAACTGTAAAACTACTACTATCTAGTCTTCAACCCCATCAGACACCCAAGAAAGGTAAATTCTGCCTAAGCAAACAGGACGTGCAGAGCAAGCAGTTTCCAAAATAAAAACAAACAAACAAACAAACAAACAAGCAGATACTGCCTGGACAGTAACCCAGTAGCCCAGGGTTCCTCCGTGTGACTGGGACTTTCATCTTTGGCCGTCAGGCCCAGAAGATCTGACAGACTTTTCTGTGAAACAGGAATACTGATCTGAGTGCCGCATTGTCAGAAAAGATCCCTTAGCAATAAAATTATGACAATGTCAGCCACATAGGGTCTTAACCTTCCCATTTGACCTTCTGGTTCCACACACAATTAACCCATCAGGTAATTTGTTTTATTTGAGATAATTTTCCAAGCCCTAAAAACTGTGTATATATCTTCTGAAGTGGCCATTCTGAATTCCAGTATTTTGAGGAAATGATAGCCACATCACCTCCTGTATCCACCAAACTTTCTATTTCAATACCATTTACTTTCAATTTTAATTTTGGCTTTTAATCATTAACCACTGTTTGCCAAAACACATGTTTTCCAGTACTTCCTTTTCTTTCTACTGGAGCAGTTTTGCCCTTAAATGTAGGGAAACAACAGCAGCTGTGCCATCATGTCGTCTGCATTAATTTCCATCTCTTTTCTTACATTGGCCATAATTTTAACTTCTCCTTTAACTCCCCCATCTATAATTCCTAGATGCACAATGAATCTCTGAAAAGTTAATCTACTCCAAGATCATCTCTACTGTCCCCAAAACTCCAATGGTTATTTTGTATCATTGAATTTTGGGGATAGGGTAAGAGATTTATCTGTGGCCAAGTCTAGAGTAGCACTCACTGCCTACAGCAGCATACACGAGGTCAGCAATACTCAGCTGAATTTTTTTTTTTTTTGTCTGCTTGTTATTTCCTGGTTGACAAACGGGAAACACTTGTTTTTTGTTTTGTTTTGTTTTGTTTTGCTGTTCTCCCACCCTCCTCCAAGCTGTTAGGCCCCCATTTTATTTCCTGAGGGCAAGAAATTGCCTTAGATAGCCCTCTTGGACCTGCACTCATTGGTCCAAAGGTATCCCTTGTCACAATGTCTGCAAACTCCAGGAAGCCTAGGTGTTCTTTTTGAAAACCCATTGCTGGGAGAAACAGCTTATTCACTTCTCTATTAAGAAAGTACTGTTTTTCCCACAGTTAACACACTGGGCATTTTGAGATCTGAGGCTTTTAATGGCTTGGTCACAACTTCTTTGTATAGGAAATTGATACAGACCTTTAGCAATAGCTTCTCCTATATTAGTATGATGCTCATGAGAACAAATACCAGTCATGTCCCTTATCCACTTATCCATTGGCACTGCCCTTGCCTTTAATGGTCTATCATTTTTTATATTCAGTATTCGAATTCTCAAACGAAAGCTTCTCTATCAACACCTGCCTCTAGTCAGGGTCTGATACAGCCTTGTTCACAGCTGAAACCAATCTTTGCAAGAAATTCAATGGCTTGCCCAGAGCCCTGTTCAATCTTAGTAAATGAGGTGGATCTTTTCCCAAACTCTTCAACTTTATCCCAAACTTTTTTTTTAAAGATTTATTTATTTATTATTATTTTTACCTTATTCTGCCTGTATGTATGTCTGCATGCCAGAAGAGGACACGAGATCTCATTATAGATGGTTGTGAGCCACCATGTGGTTGCTGGTAATTGAACTCAGGACCTTTGGAAGAACAGCCAGTGCTCTTATCTCTGAGCCATCTCTCCTGCCCTATCCCAAACTCTTAACACCACCAAGCAGTCTTCTACAACAGCTTCATCAAATCTAATCTGTTTTTGTATATCAGAGTACCATCCTTCACCAAGCAATTGATCTTTGACAACATCCGTTCTCCTTGTTCTATTTCACTGCTCAGTATTTACAGCTTCTTCGCTCCACCATGTTAACCATTGTAACTGCTGGCCAGCCTCTAGCAGAGCTGTTACCAAACCCTTCCAATCTTGGGAAATAATTCTATGCTGGGTTGTCCAGTTAGTATTTACTTAACATAAGGTGAATGCATTCTCAATCAAGTCAGGAGCAGTGACACATACCTGTGACCCCAGCACCTGGGAGGCAGAGGCAGGCGGATCTCTGTAAGTTCTAGGCCAGCCTGGTCTACATAGTGAGTCCAGGATTGCCAAGGCTACACAGAGAAACCTGTCTCGAAAAACCACTTCAGATCTACCATTTCCATAGGACATCATACTATCCCATCATGATCAGGGTCCCACCATTAGCAGGCACGTGCTGTGTGATTGCTGGGAAATGGGTGGTGATTTTGTATCGACAGCCATCCCTCCTCTGGCGGTGCAGTTGGCTCAAGATCAGCCCTTTCTTTCAAGACCAGCTGTTTTCTTTAACCCCATTGCCCTGCATGGCCTCCTTCTCCATGCCTGACTGCACACGCATCTCCCTGCCCTGCTCAGGACTTGAAACACAAGTGCACAGGCATCAATCTGGGGCACAATCTGCCTTCTAGCCCGTAGCCCAGCTCGCAGTCGGTGGAGCATGAGACTCTCAATCGCAGGGTCATGGACTCAAGCTCCACACTGGGTGCTGCTTGTAGCTGGACTTTTGGCTACTTTATTGGATTCTTTTTCCTATCTCCATATACCACCCCTATCCCTTTCAACCCCTCACACTAGGTAGGAGAGATAGAAGGCCAGAAGAAAAAGGGGACTTTGATATCGTTAGACTGCTTCCTCATGATTATGGGCATCTAGTTCCTTGAGTTGATCTTCATCCTCAGGATATCTCCACCAGGAACCAGCAATCCAACAAGCAGTAACCAGCAACAGTAGCAGGAGCAAACAGCAACTAGCAACAGAAACACGGGAAGCAGCAGCAGCCTCTACAGAGCTCTTCTGACCCTCTTGGGGCTCTGGCATCTACATACCCTCTGAAGAGTCCCCAGAATTCCAAACATAAACTATCTTTAGCTGACAAAATCATGCCCCTGCTAGAGCATGAGGCAAATCATAGTCAACTGCTGTGGACAATTTAAATTAGCCCCATATCCCATACCTGGGATTGAACTAAAAATATATTCCGCCAGGTGGGGAGGTGCACACCTTTGATCCCAGCACTCGGGAGGCAGAGGCAGGTAGATCTCTGTAAGTTCGAGGCCACCTGGTTGACAAATCAAGTTCCAGGACAGTTAGAGCTATACACAGAAACCCTGTCTCGAAAAACATATATATATATATATTCCTATAACATTTGTGTTTTAAAAGAAACCAAAAATTCTCACTCCACATAACTGAAGATACATCTTTTGATCTGGCAAGGAAGTTCTCCTTGGAACATTCAATCAGGCTCATTGCCCTGTTAGCAGCAGCACAGTGCCTGGGGTACAGGGCATTCTTTTAAAATATGTGTTGAAAACTGGGCATGGTGGTGCATGCCTACCCTACTCTAGGGAGGATGAGGCAGGAAGAGTTCCAGTGGAAGACCAACCAGGTCTTAAACTGGAAGAGCAAGGGATCCATAAAAAGAATGTTTAAAAAACAAAAAGGTAGGTTGAAGTGAAATTTCTGGTTTCCTTGAAGACTGAGGTTTTTTTATGTGATATTTTGCTACAAGCTGGGCATGTTATGTTTTGCACAGGTTGGCTTGTGAGAGGGCAGGTGATGTTTTGCTCTCTAATGTGAGGGTCGTGACTTTGCCTAGCTGGGTGGACTTCAAGGACAGGACATATATAAAGGCCCATGCATAGTGAGACATCGCTTTCTGGATTGATATCACTGCACTGCTCTTTGTGGGTGGACACGACTTCACAGACAGGAAAGTTCCAGAGAGCTTCTCCGGGGAATCCAACTGAGTCTTGCTTGGTGTTGACCTTTGGATTGGACTGCTGGTACCCTGACGACTGGTAATCCCCTAACAATCCTAATCAGCGGGAAGTAGATAAAAGAGGACTACGGGCCCTTTTCCCTACTAATCTCTTACCTAAGGTTGCAGGGAGCTGAAAGGGAGGTAAAGGTGCTTAAGAACCCTAAATAAATTAGGTTTGGTGGAAAACCTAAGCCTACAGTGGGTTGGACATAGTGGCACACACTCTTAATCCCAGCACTTGAGAAGTAGAGGTAGGCAGATCTTTCAGAGTTCAAGACTAGCCTGGAATGGCTTACTGGGTAAGAGCACTGTCAATTCTTCCAGAGGACTGGGATTTGGTTCCCAGTGCCCAAGGGGTAGCTCACAACCATCCAGGAAATCAAATGTCCTCTCCTGACCTTGTGCACACTAGGCATACATGTGGTACATACACATACACACAGAAAAAACTCATACACACAAATCAATTTAAAAAAACAAAACCCCAAGTCTAAAAAGGTAAAAAATTGTTGGCAGAAACATTATCCAGCTGAATGGCTGGGAACAATACTGCTGGGACTTGTAATTGTATTTTGTAGAGTTTGAGGCAGGTCAACTAATCCCCCCACTCTAACTGGACAATTGTGGTTTCTATAATACCTATATTGTGGCAACTTTTTTTTTTTTAAGCCAAGACCCATAGTAACAAAGATAATATATATTCATGGGTTCTCCATTCACAGATCCAATCAGACTCAGTGGAAAACAGGTTTAAAAATTCTGCATGTTTCCAACATGTACAGATGTTATTATTTTTTAGCATAGGATAACAATTGTTTGCATAGAGTTTACACCGTGTTAGGTATTATAAACTAGATGTTAGTTAAATTAGCACATGGGAGGACCTCCATGGGTTATATACGTATACTACACTGATTATGCAGATGTAGAGGCTGAACAGCCAGTTGGAGGACAGCCTAGGACATACCTTTTGGTAGTGAAAGTTGAGAGGGGGGTATGATCCAGTTTCATGGTATACATGTTTGAGGTGTTCAAATAATAAATAAGAAATATTTTTTTGTTCGTTTGTTTATGCCTGCTTCAAAGTGGTCTCTGTGCACACCTGGTTCCTTCAGAGGCCAAAAGAGGGTCTCTGCTTTCCTGGTACTGCAACTACTGATGTCTGTGAGCCATCATGTGGGTGTTGGGAATTGAACCCGGGTCTTCTGCAAAAGAAGCAGAAAATCCTCTTTTGTTTCCTTTAAAGAATGCTTTTGTATTTCATTTGTTTTAAAGTATACTGGGTTAAGAGCCATTGCTGATCTTCAGAAGGACCGGGGTTTGGCTCCCAGTACCTGTGTGGCATCTCACACCTACGTCTGATGCCCTCTCCGGGCCTCCACGGTGCCTGCACGCAGGTGGTGCGCAGACACTCGGACCCTTAGGCATACACAGAAAATAAACCTCACCAAACAACAAACAAGCAAAAGCCTCCTCTCAGGATCAGCTCTGAGAGGAAAGCCCCCTCAAGAGGACAGCCTACGCCAGGCTGCGAGCAAGCAAGGGTTCAAGTCTCCATCAGGGCCTCCCGCTCCCGCCGCGGAGGACTAAGGCCGCGAGCTCCCGGATCTCCGCGGCCGCACCACCGCGTCCCCGTACCCCGGCGGGGCTGAGGACCGAATAACAGCCGTTTCCCTGGCTCCCGGGAAACTCAATTCCTCAGGCGCAGGGCTCCCTCAGAGCAATTTCCGGTGCCCGTTGAAAGGACTCAGAGGAGCTTCCGGTGCCAGGAACTTAGTCCACCCAGGTGCCTCCGCGGCAAGCTCCAGCACCCTTCGCCTTCTCGTCTCCATCCACTTAAGTGGTCTAGGAAGTACAGTGGAAACAGAGTTAGGACTAGGCGACATCAAGGTTGGGTAGTCTACGCTTCTACAGGACCATCTACACCTCCTGCCTCCCCGGAAGTTCCATTACAGTGACAGAGGAGGCAGTTTGAGGGTGGTGCTGCGGTTCCCGTGAAGACTTAGAAGCAAGGGGAGGGGTTTAGAACTCACAGTGCAACCTTTGATTGGTGGCTATCGTATTTCACCGCGTTTGGCTTCAGGTCGGCACACGCGCAGTAGGAGGAAAACGCCCCAGAGGAGGCGGAATAGGGAATGGAATACGCCCTCTTCCTCCTACCTAGGTGTGCCGCTCAGGCTTCTGGGAATTGGAGTTCCTAGCAGGACACCGCGCAGGGCTTGGGGCCGCGTTAGAGGAAGTTGGCAGCGCCTGCGCCCCGCTGTCAGGCCGGGCGGAGGATGCGCGCGCAACCCCTCTTTCTCTCCGCCCCCTCCCCCCGGAAGTTTCTGCTGGGCAACTGAAAAGGTGAGTCCAAGTACGTGCGCCTGATGAGAGCGAGAGTCTGGGCCCAGGGGAACCTCGACGCCTACGGCTGGTCCTCAGATACCATGGTGAGGAGCCGCCCGGCCGACCAGCCTGTGACGTCACCGCATGTGGGAGGCGGAGGCCGACCGAGGCTGTGGTTCCACGGAGAGCAGCTGCTTCCAGTGCGCGTCCGGGAGGCGGGGCGGCTGCCGCCTCGCCTCCGCGGTTACGTCATCTCTGATTTCCTTTGGATTGTGGGGCCCCAGTCCAGTCTGTTACCTAAGGAACTGTCAGTCCCGCACTTGGGAAGGACTCACGTCTTTGGGTCTCTGCCGTGCTGCGTTCTTAGAACAGGAGCATAGTTGAAGATACCAAGCTGATGTTAATAAGTAGGATCAGTGAAAAATATGGATGCGTAATAAACATAGACTTGAGTAGCATAGTCAGAACCAGCTTTGCGACCTTGGGTAGAAGACCTCAGCACTCGGATCCCTTAGTTTCTTCCAGCCGCACGTATCGAGCACTTACTGTGTGTAAGGATCTGCGCAAAAGACACGTGTCAAACGCATGAGCTACCACCTTTCCCGGGGTAGCTCTGATCTCTAATTGTAGTGATGTCTAAAATGGTGTCTTATACCTAGAATCCTCGAACTCAGGAGGCTGAGGCAAGAGGATTTCGGAGAGTGGTGAGTTCCAGGACAGCCCAGCATAAACTACAGAGTGACACTCTGTCTCAGTAACGAAAGCTGCATGTGGTGATATATGAGAGTAAGCTCAGCATTTGGAAGGTTGAGACGAGGATCAGAAGTTCAAGGTCAACGTGGGCTGGATGAGACCCTGTCTAAAAAATAAATTTAAGCCCTGCTCAAGGGCTGGAGAGGTGGCTCAATGTTTGAGTGCTTACTGCGCTTCCGGAGGACTCAGATTGGTTCCCGGTTCACAACTGCCTGTAACTCCAATTGCAGGGGATCAGTGCACCGGCCTTCATGGGCGCGTGCCTCACATGCTCGTAGCCACAAGATTAAAGATCGTAAAGGTCATATTTTTAAGTCCAGCACAACTACTTTACATTCTGAAGTTGGTTGGGATGCCGGACAGAAAGTGAAGTAAATTGTGTAATAATATGCCTCTGTGGTGCTTTACTACGTGTTTGCATTCCAGAATGTTCTGGACAATGAAAGGCTTTCTCTGCTTGCAAGTCACACGTGGTGCATGCTGACCTGCTTGAGCTCCTTTGCTCATAGCTCACAAACAGAACTGTGTAGTTGTTTATCAGCATCAGAGATGGTGCTGCACTAGTTATAGGCTCTGTGTGTGCCACGTATTTGCGGGTACCTGGAGAGGCCAGAAAAGGGCGTCAGATACCCTGGAGCTGAAGTTACAGGTGGTATGAACCTTCCATCAGACTGGGGTTCTGGAGACTGAATTTGGGTCCTCTGGAAGAACAGTATGCATTCCAGATCACTAAACAGAATACATTCTAAATCACTAAGACATTGGCCTTCTCTCAAAACTGACTTTAAATGGACCCTCACGACCACTGCTTTGATAACAAACCACAGGAACAAGGCGAAGAAGCTGATACTCTTTATATAAAGCTAGGATGTGACTGCAGTAGACAAGGGAGAGATGACAGCCTAGGCTGGCAACAGGGTGGTGGATAGAGGCTAAATGCTTAAAAGCCTGCTGTTACCTGGCTCCGTTCCATGCTGTTCAACAGCTTCTGCGTGGGAACCTGTGAGTATATTCTGATCTGAAGCTAAGAACCCAGTGCATTTCTTCATGTTGACTTTATACTTTAGTGCCAGGTTGTACTGGTAATGGTACACACCTGAAATCCCAGCATTTAGGAATTTAGGAACAGGAGGATCAGAAGTACAAGGCTAGTCTGGGCTACATGAAAACTTATCTCAAAACTAAAATGAGTCTTACATGAAAGGATGAATGAATGGGTATTTAGGTAACATTTACTGGCTATTTGTCCAGTGCCCAATAAATGTTAGCCAGTACCTATCACTTGTGAAATGATCCCCAGTCAGTATCTCCCTCTTTGTTCGTTTCCAGGCTGTTGTCAAGATGGAGTGTCTAACCCAGTAATCCAAGGACCAAATGCTGAGTCCACACAGGTACCATTGCCTCAGAGACCCATCTCCTACCAACAGCCGACCCCTACTGTCTCTTCTTAGTGGCTGCAGGTGAACCTCCTTACCCTTTGATCCAGGGTGTGGCAAGGCTCACCTAGTAAGGCAAATGCTCCCTTCCGTCGTTTTCCTAGTAACTACTTTGTAATTTCAGGTTTTTCCACCTGTGCTCCAGTACCCAAAATAACGACCCTGAGACTTTGCACTATTTATGAATAGATTACTAGGCCATGTACTTTGGCTTGTTCTTCAGCTAGCTCACAACTTATTTTACCCATTTATTTTATTCTTTGTGTTCCACATGGCTGCTTACCCCTCCTCAGTTTCATGTGTCCATCTTCCTCAGAGTCCAGGAAGAATCCCTCACTCTCTCTCTCTTGTGTTTTTGAGATAGAGTTTCTCTGTGTATGTAGCCTTGGCTGTCCTGGACTGGCTTTGTAGACCAGGCTGGCCACAAACTTACAGAGATCTGTCTGCCTCTGCCTCCCTATGTGCTGGGATTACAGGCATGTGCCACTGTGCCCTGGCTCTCTTGTCTCTATCTTAGAGTTCATCTCTTTCTCCTGGAACTCCCACCTCCTATTTCCTGTCTCAGCTAATAGGCCATCAGCTTTTTATTAACAGGTGACACAGTACATAAGACGTTCTCTTTATATTCCGCCTTTTAGTCCAGAAAAGTGCTTTCTCTTATTATAAACTATAAACAAGAACAAGATGAAATGATTATGAAAACTCTCAGGTAAGAATTACAGTCACAAAGTCCAGTCCATTTGTATTGGGCAGTATTGGAGAAAGTACTGTCTATCTTATCTTGGCAACCTTAGAGATTTGTACTTAAATTATTCTCTATTATAGTTTGTATTTATCAATCTAAAAATATCTACTTAGCCTAAAACTATATTTTTAAAACATTTTCTTAAATCCTAAACAACTTAAGCTTAATCTGAGACTATAACCATCTAGTCTTCAACCCCATCAGAGACTTGAGAAGGAAAAAAAAAAGTATTGCCTATATATGCAGGAAGTACAGAGCAAGCAGATTCCAAAATAGAGAAATGACAGAGACAGCTGGCTGTCTAAACAGTCACCCAAGATTCTTCAGCAATGTTAGGGCATCATCTTCAGCCTTCTGGCACAATATATGACAGACTTTTCTGTGAAGCAGGAATTATAAAGGACCTCCTACTTTGTCTTGACAAAGCTCAGCAGTTGACTTCTTCCTGTCCTGTTTGTTCACAGTGTGGCCAGCATGCTGTCTGCAGTTGAAGCAGGGACAGTTTTTCTTCTAGTGACTAGCTTACCACATTGAGGCAAACTCCATGTGGAGGTTCTTCGATGCTCATCATCTTCTTTGAAGTGGAGTGGAGACGCTGCCAGAAGCAGACGTGTTTCACTGGTCAAGAAAGCCTTTTATTAATAAAACATCTCTAAATGCCATACTCTGTAGACCTCTGAGGGTTTTGAAGACCACCTGACTATTTATAGTGCATCTGGATAGGCAAACATTACTTGTTTCTAGCTATTACTATCTGTTCAACCTAGGAAACATATTTCTGTAATTAACTAAACTAGTATCTAGCATGACCATGAGTTTGATTGATTGCTAACTTGCACTACTTAATTATCTAAACAGTTTGTAATAGCAACTTTCAAAAGAAGTAGAATGTCACATTGCATTGTTAAATGAGTTGCATAGGTACAATTACCTTATACAAGAGTTGAAATATATATACATAGTACATTGTGATAAAAATAACCTTAATTTTGTATCAATATATGAAGATCTATACCAGTGTAAGATTTTTAGCTAGTAGTAGTTCTATAGCTTAAGAATAGATTCAGTAATCTACTCTTTTATCCTATTATTCCTATATCCTCCTTTTTTTCTTTTCATCCTCTCTCCTTCCCTTTCCCCTTAACACTAGATAAGAGAGAAAGGATAGAGGAAAGAAAATGAAACAGAGAAATCACTGAGTGTAAGTTTCTATACCTTGTGACCTCCCTGAACAAGACCATTTAACAACTTGTAACCAACCGAATGACCAAAAACTACCCACCCCATTTTTTGGGAAATGGGATTGTCTGAGAGAAATGTTTTCCTTTTTTGGGGCCCCAAGAAAATTGGGATATTGGCCAGTCTTAAGAAGGCAGTCTTAAGGCAGGCAGGCATGGTGGCTCACGCCTTTAATCCCAATACTCAGAGAAGTGGAGGCAGATGGATCACTGTGAATTTGAGGCCAGCCTCGCCTGCAAAATGAGTTCAGAACAGCCAGGCTACACAGCCTTGCCCCCTTGTCTGGGGGGTAAGGGGGGGCGGGTGGTGATTAGCTGTAACATTTGTCTGGTCTCTGTGTTTTGAAAGTGCATGGCTTAATTGAAATACATGATTCTGAGTAATATAGCTAGCCATTTTAAGTTGTTTTGGATGCAGATTTTTAAGAAAACAGCTACTGAGGCAGTCCGTGATTGGATAAAGCAGGATGCTGGAATAAATATGTCTCAGCATCTCAGCATCTTCAAGGTTGAATCCTTTCAGGGCTGGTCCAACTTCATTGGTGTACGGTCCCTCTGTCCTATAAACATATAAACTTTCACAGGTAATATACATTTTGTACAAACACAAGTATGGAATGTGGAGTGTGCACAATTTAGTTGAAAATTATTCTCTGCTCTTTGTTTGAGCAGGTGAAAGGCATCTGTCTTTTTAAGCCAGTCTGCACTGAATAACCAAACTGTAGTACAAATTTTCATCTATGCCATATGAAAGAATGGCATGATAAGTCCTGAGGACTCTGTAGCCAACAAAATTTATTGGCTAAGCAATATTAAAGTCCTGCCTGGTACACCCAGAGCTGTTCCCATGTAGAAAGATCAGCAAATGTTACTTATTTTTGTTGCCCTTCCTTCCTTCCTTCCTTCCTTCCTTCCTTCCTTCCTTTCTTCTTTCTTTTTATTTCTTTCCCCAAGATTTTCAAGGGATAGCGCCTGGACATGTCTGATTTTTATCAATTTGGATGGAATCTGTGTTGTTTCTTCTGTTGAAACAATGACAAAACCTCTCCTCCAACACAGTACACTTCCTGCTTTCCATTCTGAGGTTATCACTTATATAGGTTGATCTAATTTAGCAGTCCTTTCTAAAATCCAGTCTTTTTCAACAGCTATGTTATCTGTCTCACTGGAATTTACAATTTTGTTTGTTTTGATTTTGGTTTTTCGAGACACATTTCTCTGTATAGCCCTGGTTGTCCTGGACTTGCTTTGTAAACCAGGCTGTCCTCAAACTCACAACAGTTCAACTGCCTCTGCCTCCCTGAGTGCTGGGATTAAAGGCGTGTGCCACCATGCCTGGCTTTCAACATTTACAACATTTAAATTCAATAAAGTATTGTTTACTCTGTCACTGGGAGAGCCCATGTCCTCTTTTTCGTCCATAAGTATTTTCTTTAAGGTCATGTTAGATTTTTTAATGCTTGCTTGTCCTGTAAGACTAGGAAATGTACTTGTAACATCTTTTATGTCGTAATGTCTAAAATAATGTTGCACTTTATTAGGTACATATGTTGAAGCATCATGAGCTTCAGTCTGTAAAGGCATTTTGTGGTGGTGGTGGTGCTGTTTTGGTTTGGTTTTTTGAGACACGGTTTCTCTGTGTAGCCATGACTGTCCTGAAACTCACTCTGTAGAACAGGCTGGCCTCGAACTCACAGCCATCTCTGCCTCTGCCTCTGCCTCCTGAGTGCTGGGATTAAAGGGGTGTGCAACCATTGCCCGGCTTACAGCCATTTCTAAGATAGCCATCATCTCTAATAAATCATCTCTTTTAGAATTTTTTAAAAAAGATTTATTATGTATACAGTATTCTGCCTGCGTGTGTGCCTACACACCCAAAGAGGGCACCAGATCCCATTATAGATGGTTGTGAGCCAACATGTGGTTGCTGGGAATTGAACTCAGGACCTTTGGAAGAGCAGCCAGTGCTCTTAACCTCTGAGCCATCTCTCCAGCCCCTCTTTTAGAAATCAAGGCAAAAAAGTCCATTTGAATCCTGAATATGAATCTATGGTATATGTTTTAGTTTTCTAAACTCTATAAGAAGAAATAGATAAGCTATTGTATGACATTGCTCTAAGGTGACATTGAACAGAATCTGTATCTAAAAATTTTAATAGACCTTCATCTAGTAATTGATTCTTGACAATATAAATATATCTAGTCTGATTATGATGTTAATAGCTGAGGCCTCTTTTAGAGCATCTCAGTGGGCTGCCATTCTGTAATCTCGTCACAAGGTGGCAGTGTAGACTTAGATTGGATTTCTCTGACGCGCCTTTATTCTGATTGAAAGAATCCTGTAATCTCTTCTGTGGCCTCCATTCGAGCATTTAACTTTTTAGTCTTTTTTTTTTTTTTTCTAAGTTTGTTTTCTTTTGATCTCTCTTAAAGAGGCTATATAAATTTGTAATCGTTACAGAAAAAAAATTGTTTTTATACTGATAGGCAAAATAAATCATACGGGATCCAGATACATTGTATCATTGTATTTTCTATTTTTAACACAGAAAACAGTTTTCTTTTTAATCTCTCTCTCCTTTATTATTTTCCAAGTCTGTTGATTTTTCCCCTTTTCCTGACGTTTCAGAATGTCTGTAGTTGGCGTCTGCCAAGTCTCTCTGCTGGCTTTTGACGCTGACCCCTTAAGGTTGCTCTCTCGCTCGCTCACTCTCACTCTCTGCCCAGTCTACATGGTGTCAGCTTTAACCATGTGGACTCAGATTACACTGCAGTTTCCCACAAGCTGCCTAGCTCTCTTCAACATGCTCTCTGAACCATCTCTGGAACCGTGCCCCTCCTCTGGAACTGTGCTGTGCTTGGGAAAGCTGCAGCTGCTGTGCTCTGAGGCTCCAGTTCCATGCTCTACCTGTTCTCACAGACCCCTGCTCTCGCCCAGTGCTGATATATAAAATATTCAGCAGGGTCTTTTTTTTTTTTTTTTTTTTTTTTTAATTTAGGGAACCTCTTTCCATCCAGGAGTTCTCAGGTTCTAAGCCTGGATTCTAAAAGGCCATAAGTTAGGCAGTATTTTTAACTGCAGGTGTTTCCACTCATGCCCCAGTTCCTGAAATAATAACTGAGACTTTATTATTTATGAGGATGAATAAATGCCTAGGCCATAAGCTTTGGTTCTTTCCCTGACTAGCATGTAACTTACTTTACCCGTTTATCCTATGCCACTTGTGCCACATTGCTGGTTACCTCTCCTCAGTTTCACACATCCATCTTCATCTCTCACCTTTTTCTATCTCAGAGTTTATCTCTTTCTCCCAGAACTCCCACCTCCTAGTTCTTGCCTCAGCTGATAGGCCATCAGATTTTTATTGACAGGTGATGCTTCCATACAATAACATGAGATTCTCTCCATAGCTGAGGGAATGGGCCTAACATGGATTTACCACCATCACAATTCGGGGTGGTGGTGATACCTGTTATCCCGGAAATCAGCAGATGGATTGAGGTTAGCCTGGTCTGTACTGCAAGATCCTGTGTGATGGTTAATATTACCAGCCTGACTGGTAGTCATGATAGACCAGCCTCTGAGCATGCATGGGGGAGGGGTTTTCTAGACTGTGGTCTTTGAGATGGGAAAATCTACGCAGAATGTGGGTGGCAGCATTCTTTGGGTCAGAGTCCTGGACTGTATTAACAGAAGAAGGAGCTGAACACCAAGCATTCATCTTTCTCTGCTCCCTGTGGGTAGAACGTGAGTAGCCATTTAAAGCTCCTGCTGCCCTGATTTCTACCATGGCGGACTGTACACTTAAACTGTGAGCCATAAGTTGCTTTTATCTGGATATTTTATCACAGCAACAACAAAAGTAATTTACACACCATGTCTCAACAAAAGACATGCATACATACAGTTTACATACGTAAAACCAGAGATTTCCAAACAACTTTTTATTTAAGAAGTTAAGTCGGGGGGGCGCTGGAGAGATAGCTCAGAGGTTAAGAGTACTGGCTGTTCTTCCAAGGTCTTGAGTTCAATTCCCAGCAACCGCTTGGTGGCTCACAACCATCTGTAATGAGATCTGGTGGCCTCTTCTGGTGTGCAGGTGTCCATGCAGGCAGAACACTGTATACATAATAAATAAATAAATCTTTAAAAAAATAAAAAAGAAGTCAAGTGGAGTGTTATTACTCAGTTCAGGCTGTGCAATGCCACAGTAACAAACAGCCCCGAGTCTCTCTCCCTGATAACAGTCACCACCTAAGCTTCAAGTTTGTCATTACCTGAAAAAAAAAAAAAAAAGAAAGAAAAGAAAAAGGAAAGGCAAAACAAAAACAAAACCACTTCCCCAGTATTTATGCCTTTGTCAAAACAGATGTGATTGTTCAAGTGAAGTGTGACATGCCCCAACAGATCAATGTGTTTGAATACACTTCTCCAGCTGGGGGCACTGTTTTGTGAGATCTTGGGGCATGCAGCTTAGAGAGTGGACATAAGGCTGCAGACATGGGGCTCTGGCTGCAGCTCTCTGCTTCCTGGTTGAAGGAGATATGAACAGTCAAAGCCGTATGTTCCCAGTGCCACAGCCATGAGGTTCGTTCAAGCTTCTCCCATGCATTCCCTGCCTTTGTGGACTTGAACCAGGAGCCAAAGTAATTTTTATATTCATTTGTTTATATGTATTTATTTATTGTACATATATACAGAAGCCGAGTAACCAAAATGGCTGGATTATACAGGGAAGAGCAGCTGGGGAAGGACAGGAAGCTCAGGGCTCAAGTTGTTCAGAATAGCGGTCCTGGTATGCCAGCAGAATGATTCTGTACCAGGTCGTGAGAGATGCTGAGCAAACAGCCAGCATCTGCTCTGCTGTGTTAAATAGGCACTGCAGTTAGTCATTAATCCTGAGAAGATTTAACACTTTCTTCATTAATTATTGATAAAAGAGGGCCCAGCCCACTGTGGGTAGGTGCCACCCATAGACAGGTGGTCTTTGGTTGTTTAAGAAGGCAGGTTGAGCTGGGCATGGTGGCACATGCCTGTGATCCCAGCACTTGGGAGGCAGAGGCAGGAAGATTGCTGTGAGTTTGAGGCCAGCCTGGTCTGCAGAGCGAATCTAGGGCAGCCAAAGCTACACACAGAGAAACCCTGTCTTGAAAACAAAAACCAAACAAGAAAAATCAAGCCATGGGGCGCCAGCCAGTGTGCAGCACCCCTCCATGTCCTCTGCTTCAGTTCCTGCTTCCAAGTTGCTGCTTGAGATTGTGCCCTGACTTCCCTCCATGATGGACTCTAACTGTAGGACGACATAAGCCCTTCCTCCCAAGCTGCTTCTGGTCATGGTGTTTATTACAGCAGCAGAAAGCCAGCTTGATGTGTGTGGTGTGGGTGAACGAGGTGCATATCGAGGGCAGAGAACAACTTGACTGAGCTTCCCCCAGTGTGTGAGAGCCAGAGACAGCTCCGATTGTCGCCAGTGCTTTAAGCACTGAGCCAGAGGCTCACAACCTGAGGGTCTTGACCCCTTCAGGCGTCAGGCGACCCTCTCACCAGGGTTGCGTAGCAGATATTCACATTCACGTTACAATTCATAACAGTAGCAAAGTTACAGTCATGAAGTAGCAACAAAATAATTTTATGGCTGGGGTCACCACAGCTTGAAGAACTGCTTTAAAGGGGAGCAGCATCCGGAAGGGGGAGGACCACTTCATTTGCCAGCCTTGTGAGCCTTCCTTGAGTTGTTTCTGTGGGTTATTCTGCCACAGCAATCAGGAAAGGAGTCAGTGATGCAACAAATATCCGATGGAATGTTATCATGATGGAATGTTGTCACCAGCATTGCCAGCTGGGCCTGCTAATCTCTGGGGAAGGCAGCAGGGTCTGAGCAACAGTCTTTGCAGCCCAGCACGGTACACAGCGCCATGGCCGACCTTAGCCATAGCGAAGCTTCTGTGCTGCCACTGCCTTGTAGAAACTACTTTTTCCTCTCTGCCAAGCCATCTCTCTGGATGGCTTGTGGCTTTCAAAGGCAAGTGCTGGAATTCAGTAAGTCATTAGGAAGAAAACACAGGCCCATGAGATTCTGAGATTCCAATATGGAAAAATGAGAGGGAAGCGCAGAAACATCAATTAACAGGAGCTGGGAATGTGGCTCAGTTGGGAGAATGCTTACCCACTGTGTGCTCAGGGTCCTTTTTGTTGCTATGATAAATCACTCTAGCCAAATGAAACTTAGGGAGGATAAGATTTCTTTGCCTCACACTTCCCGGGCACACTCCATCACTGAGGGAGTCAGAGCATGAACTTGACTCAGAAAGTATGGAGGGCCACTGCTTGCTGGCTCGTGCACATCTGGCTTTCTTACACATCATAGAACAATCTACACAGGTAGTGGTGCTGCCTGCAGTGAGCTGGTCCTGCCACATCAAGGTAATCCCCCAAACGCAAATCTTGTCCGAACAGTTCCTCTGTTGATGCTCTCAAGTGATTCTAGGCTGTGTAAAGTTGACAGTTAAAGCTAACCAAGACTCTAAGCAAGAATAACGACTTGAGTTCAGCCCTCAGAACTCACAGAAAAATGTGGGTGTGATGGTGTACACCTGTAATCCTAGCACTGGGGAGTCAGAGACAGGGGGATCGCTAGGTTGGACACAGTCTTGTCTACTTGACAAGCCACCAGCCAGTGAGAGGCACTGTCTCAAGAAACAGGTGGGTGGTGCCTGGGGAGCAATGACCAAGGCTGACGGCTTGCTCCCATACACACGCGCACTCCCGTTGCAGTTCTGTTGATGGTAGCTTTCTGATTCCTGTCACCTCCCTTTCTGTGTTGCAGCATGAGCTCCTGTCCAGTCTGTGGCAAAAGTGTCAAAGTATCATTCAAGTTCTGCCCTTACTGTGGCAAGGCCCTGTCTGTAGAGAAGCATGGAGCCGCCCAGACTGGCATTATGCCTCTTGTGTCATCCTTTCGAGGTAGGAACCAGGAAGGTGCTAACCAAGCCTGCAGTTTCTTACAGCTTCTATAGTTTCTGCCATTGGATTGTAATCCCTGTCTGTGTAACTGTCGGAGGGTGGTCTCTGGGCCTCATGGACACAGAAGGGAAGTTTGTGTTGCAGCTAAGCATGTTTGCAGAAACAGAGGTAGCTATGGGGACACAAACAGTTTCACTGGATAGCTGTGCCAGCCATTTCTTAGAGGAAGGATGTGCAGCTGCAATGAGCAGGAGCACAGCAAGCTGAACTCAGTAAACTGTAGCCGTCTCCTCTTTACGACGTCCTAGTGCCTCGGCAGACCATAGTGCGCGGCAGTAGTTGGATTATGTTGGATGCACATTAAAACACTTGAGTGTATAGTGTATATATATTTTTTCAAAGGCCATGGCTTCTCTGGTTCTTTTCAGTCATTTATCATGGCAGTTGTCAACTGTCATGCTACTGGGTTGTCACGTGGCATGACAGCTGCTGCCAGGTATGGTCACCTGTGCCTGTAAACAGCTTTCAAACACTTGGGAAGCTGAGGCAAGAAAATCACCATGAGTTGAGTCCTAAGCTATAGAGTGAGATCCTGTCTCAAGAATTAAAAAAAAAAGGGGGGGGGCTAGAGACGTGTCTCAGTCATTAAGAGCACTTAAAAGAATAAAACGGGCTAGAGAGATGGCTCAGTGGTTAAGAGCACTGCCTGCTCTTTCAGAGGACCCAGGTTCAATTCCCAGCACCCACATGGCAGCTCACAACTGTCTGTAATGCCAGTTCCAAGGGATCAGACACCTTCACACAAATGGACATAAAATAAAATTAAATAAAACATAAAAATATTTTTAAAAAGAATAAAACAAAAATAATTAAAAGACAAATAATTGCAAAGCATGTTTAATAGAAAGGAATAAAAGTGCTTTAAGTACACATATATAAAAGCATATATGTACATACATAATTATTTACAATAAGAAGCTTAGAGTATGCTTTAAATGGCAAACTAGACACAGCTGGAAAAGGAATTCATGAAGTAGAGCTGGAGAATTTAGTCAAAAGCTGGACACAGTGGCACATGACTGTAATCGCAGCACTTTAGAGGCCTGGGAAGGAGAAGTAATCTTGAGTTTATAAACCAATCTAAGCCATATAGCAAGTCTCTCTCCCTCCTCCTTTCCCCCTCCACCCTCTTTGTCTGTTTGTTTGAGACAGGGTTTCTCTGTGTAGTCCTGTCTGTCCTGGACCTTGTTCAGTTGACCAGGCTGGCCTTTAACCTCAGAGGTCCACCTGCCTCTCCCTCCTGAGTGCTGGGATTAAAAGTGTGTGCCACCATTGCCCAGCTGAAAAACCTTGTATTAAACAAACAAAAACATCGCTGAACCAGTGAGATAGATCAGAGGATGAAAGTGCTTACAGTACAAACCTGATGAATTGAGTTCAGTCCCTAGAAGTCACAGTGCAAAGAGAGAGCTGATTCCCAAAAGAAGTCATCTGACTTCCATGTGTGCACCATAGAGTGCTCTCTCTCACGCTCATGCTCTTTCTCACTCACTCACTCTCTTTCTCACACACCACACAATGGTAATAAATTAAAATTTTCAAAAAAGAAATTTCTTAGAAGACAGCAGAAAGACAAGTGATGAAAAAGCTAGGCATGGTGGCACATGCCTTTAATCCCTGCATGAGGGAAGCAGAGGGAGGCAGATCCCTGTGAATTCAAGGCCAGGCTGCTCTACGAAGTGAGTCCAGGACTGCCACAGCCACACAGAGAAAGAAAAAAAAGTACACGAGACAAGTGATGGAAGATGTAAAAAGAGGCTGGGGCTAGTGGAGGAGAAATAAGCAGGAAAAAGGAACATTTGCTCAGTGGGCAGTGGAGACCACAGGGCTATCCTGTGAAGGTCAACGGAAAGCGTGTGTCTGACGCTGAGCACAGAGTTCTGGTTTTGCTGTGCCTGGAAGGCCCTTCCGAACTCTAATCTGTGTTTGGTTCACTTTTAGGCTCGAGGAGAGAGCTGAACTCCAGTTCTGAAACCTCTCCCAAGAAAGTGAAATGGTCACACACTGTCACTTCTCTCTCACCCTCCCTCCACTCTGACTGTGGTAGTTCTGAGTCTGAAGATACCTTGAGTTCTCCTGAAAGAGCCACAGGTGAGAGCTGGTTTTTGAACATGTCTGGATGGGGCAAAGATGGGTCATTTGACAAGCTGGTGACGAGGGCTGGAGAGATGGCTCAGCAGTTAAGAGTGCTTGCACTCAAGCTTACTTCTCAGTATCTATATCTGAAAACTCACAAGGATCTGTCACTCCAGCTCCTGGAGCTCCAAAGCTGTCTTCTATCCTCCACAGGTGTGAAAATACCCAGCCCCCACACAAACATATATACATAATTACAAATAATGTAAAAATTACACAGGGTTTGAGAAATAGCTACTGCTGTTCCAACTGAAATGTCAGCCAGTCATCCCTGCTTGGAACATTTTCCCAGTGTCCCTTTCTTATTCATCCCCACAGGAACCACCATTATGCCCCCTATGGGCCCTCTGCCTTGACTCTCACCACTCCACAAATTTAACGCCTATCTTACATCTGCTATCATTTGTCATTCTGTGTGTTTTCTAGACAATTTCTTTGTTTTTTATTCAGGCTCTCATTATATAGCCTAAGCTGACCTGGAACTCACGGCAGTCCTCCTGGTTTAGCCTTTTAAGTACTGGGATTATAGGCACATATCATCACATTCAGTGTTTGAGTAATTTTTTGAGTAATTTATCTTCTAGTTCACAAATTCTTTCTCTAGTAATGTCTGTTCTGACATTTAAACCAAATACTGTTTCTGACTCCATGTCCCAGTAAACAGAATAGCCACTTGAGTGAGTCCACCTCTAAACCCTGCTAATCTGTTCCCTCAGACCAGTTTGCCATCTCCTGTTGCCTGCCATACTCTCCCATTCTCACCAGGCCCTTCCTGAGCCTGTGAGTGTATGCTGAAGCTTCTGCTGCCTCTAGCTAGATATGTCCTCATTCGTTCACTCATCACCTCTGCGTCCTGTGCTGTCCATGTTCTTTGTGGAAACGACCATACAGGACTCATCTGTATCTTTCCAGACAGTGCTAGGCAAGAGAGGCCTGTCTAGCCTTCAAAATCAAGCCTGAGTCTTAACACATTTCTGGGTCCTGTGCAAAACTCAGCATATAGCCAAGACCCGTTTCATGATACTTTGGGGTGAATTTCTCTAATGTCCTTTCTCCCTAGCAAATATCTATTTGCCAATAAAACCCTGCTCTCATGTAGTCTGCCCTAGGAAGCCTTTCATGACTTCTTCCAGCTGTGTATCTCTTTTCTGGCCCCATTATCCACTGTGACCACTTACTTTCAGAGTCAATTCTGACTTGTTATGTCCTGGTCAGGATCCCCACCACAGTGGGAGGGGTCCTGACCCATGAGCCAGGGTCTCCAGTATTGAGAAACAAAGATTTAGCCTGTAGGAGCTCAGGAAGAATTCATGAACAAAGGCAGGGACAGCATCTTGGGCATTGCTACTCTCCAGTCTGCTTTCTCTTTATCAAGTCATCTCCTTGCAGGCACCTGGAGCAGACCCCCGACCCCCAAAGGCAGCCCACAGTCTACCAGGCTAAGCCCTCAGACACTGAAGCGGAGCCGGGTGACCATCTCCCTCCAGGCTTTGCCCACAGGGACAATGCTGACAGACAAGAATGGGCAGCACTGGATACTAGGGGCCCTCCAGTCCCGGGATGATCAAGGCATTCTCTATGAAGGTACACGCTATCCCAGTACACAGGGAATATGCCAGGCCATGCAACACCACAAGGCCAAGAACAACAACTTCAGGGAGGAAAGATTGGCCAAGGCTCAGGATTTAACAGGTTTTAGTCTGTCATGGCAGGGAGGACTCATAGAACAGAGCAGCTTAGACCAGGTACTCAGGAACCAGAGGAAAGGGTTACAGGAAGTGACCAGGGCAAGGTATGACCCTTAGGAACATGCCCACATTATCTTCTTCCTCCAGCTCAGCCCCACCTCGAAGGGATGCCATTATATTTGAATCCTTCAAAGAATCAGGACCTCATAATCTCTGAAAGTCATCACAGAGTAACCCAGAATTGTGCTTCCCTAACCTTTCCACTCCTCGGGCCCATCAGTTTGATGGTCAAGATGAGGCATCAGGGCATGGTGGTGGTGCTGGTGCAGTGCTTGCTGGTGTCCTACTTCCATTCTGTCATTGTGATAAAACCCTAACAAAAGGCACTTAGGGGAGAAAGAGGTGGATTTAGCTCATAGTTCCAGTTCATAATAACGGGAATTAAGGCAGGGACTCGAGGAGGTTGGTTCACAACTGAACAGAACAAGGAAGAATATGGAACGCATGTTTGCTTGCTTGTGCTAAGCTTGATATCTCCACTCTTAACAGTTCAGGACACCCTGCCTAGGGAATGGTGCCACCCAGAATGGGGTGGTTTCCCACATCAGTTAGGACAGTCCCCCACAGGCCAGCTCAATGCAGATAATACCTCATTGAGCTAATTCTAGCTCTGTCAAGTTGACAAATCTGTCATATTTGTCTAGTGCAAGACTCTACATTCAATCTCTAGAACTTTGAAGAGAGGACAGAGAGAGAGAGGAAGGGAGACGGGAAGCAGGGAAACATGAAGGAACAGGTGTTGAGCACCAATTATGCACTTCCCCATGGGAACCAGAGAACTGTTCTGAGCAGCTGGAGGATCGTGGCCCTGACATTCCCCATAGGTTCTGATGTTTCTCTCTTTGCCATTCCACAGCTGAGCCCACTTCTGTCTTACCCTGTGAATCAAGGACCCAGAAGCATAGATTCTCACTCAAACTGGTGAGTGGTCCAGGGCCAGCTCAGAAGGAAGGGTATAGGGCTTTTCAAATTAACCCTTGACCTCTGAGTCCCAGTATAGCCTGGAGAGTCCACCCTGAAAACAGTGCTCCTAGTGTCTGAAAAGCCATGGGACTCTGGCTTAGCCCATTTCTTCTTCACTTTGGGGAGCAGAGGTGAGACCTGCCCCTACATCTGCCTCTGATGTACCCTGTCCTCTCACGCCTCCATTTTTTTTTTTTTTTTTTTTTGCATCAGTACAGTCGACTTCCTGCCCCTGCCTGCCCACTGCTTCCTGCCTCATACATAGTGTATTTGTCAGCTTTTGTCACTGTGACACAGTGGAAAACACAAGGAAAGAAGGATTTATTTGATTCATGGTTTGAGAAATAAGAGTTTATCATATGGGGAAGACATTGCCAAGAAGAGCAACTCACTTGTCAATCATGTGAGAAGGGTGTGGCCAAGAGCAGCTCCTGTTATGGCACCAGGAAGCAGAGAGAGTCAGAGAAAGCATGGGCAAGAGAATGTGGGGGTGAAACATAGATAGTTCCCCTGAGGCCTAGGACAGTCCACTCTGGAGCTCCTGTGTGACAGACCCCAGCTAAGTGAGGCCCATGCACTGTCCCTGCATTCTTTCAGCAAGTCTTTAGTTAGCCACAGCTTTCCAAATTTAACAGATGAGAAGAAAGAATGGAGAGAGATGGGGAGAAAGAAGGAAGCAGGGAAAAAAGAAGAAAGGAGTCAGGTTGAAGGGGCAGCTCAGTTGGTATAGTATACCTGTTCAGCATGCACAGACCCAGCATGTTCCATTCCCAGCACTGCACAAGCCAGGTGTGGTGCATGCCTGTCATCCCAGCACTTACAATGTAGAAGCGGGAGGATCAAGAATTCAGTCTTCAGCTACAGCAACAGTTTGAGGTCAGCCTTGGATACATGAGGCCATGTTCTAGAAGAATAAGAGGATGTGGAGTGGGGGAGAAGTGGAAGGGAGACCCGGAGAAGAGAGAAAGAGAGGGGTATTGGACAGAAACCTGGCTGTGTTTAACACTATGGTCTTAAGAACCAAGGTAGAGACAAGTGCAGTGGAGCATGACGTAATCCCAGCACTCAGGAGGCAGAGGCAGGAGGATCCCTATGAGTTTGAGGCCAGCCTGGTCTACAGAGTGAGTCCAGGACAGCCATGGAAACCCTGTCTCAAAGAAAAACAAAAACAAGGTCGAGTACTATGTATAGTTAAATTTTTTAGCTTGACTGATTCATAGATATGTAGGTAGGCAGATGTGCACATCTGTGTCAATGCGTATATATGTATGTATATGTATATGCATGTGAAAGACAACCCGATCTTTAAAAATATATTTTTATTTTATGTGTATGAGTATTCTGAGGGCATGTAAATCTGTGCCACTTGCATGTTTGGGGCCCGCAGAAGCCAGAGACAGTGCCAGGTCCCTTAGAACTAGAGTTACAAGTGGTTGTGAGCCGCCTGATGGGATTTCTGGGAACCAAACCTGGGTTCTCTGCAAGAGCAGCCAGTATTCTTAACCACAGAACCGTCTTTTCAGGCTGGATACTTTTTTTTTCTTTTTTCTTAAAACTGTTTCTCAATACATAGGCCAGGCTGGTCTGGAGCTCCCTGGCAATTCTGGTCGTGACCTCATTGGCCAGAACTTGGTCATGAGGCCATGTCTGGTTGAAAAGGAGGCTAGGAAATTAAGTTTTTAGCTAAGGGCCACATGTCTAGGACAAACCTATAGATCTTACCATAAAGTAATCAAAGGGAGGTGGGTACTGAGAAGCACAGCCTGCTCAGTTATGACACTTCAGGAACTGGGTCCTGATTTGTTGACAGGAAGAGCCCTTGTCTAAGGGAGTTTGGTATGACGGCCTCTGCCCTCCTCTCACCTCCAGGACTCCAAGGATGGGCGCCTTTTCAATGAGCAGAACTTCTTTCAGAGAGCAGCCAAGCCTGTGCAAGGTATTCCATAGTGACTGGACAGGAGAGATGGGTTGGGTGACAGGTCCTCAGCTGACTATCATCACTCTCAGAGAGGGCAGATGCATGCTCTGCCCCTCTCTCCAACCGCATGCAGTCCTGTTGCACTGCTGCCTTAAAACTGGCTGAATGGGAAGTGTTTACCTCATAGACAGTAGCTGAACTGCCAGCTCTCATGGGTCTCCCCTGCCCGCCTGTACCTACCAGATCTCAACACACCCAAGCTCTCTCTATTACCCCAGGGACCCAGTGATGCCCTGGCTGTTTAGACCTCTTGTAAACTTCTCTTAAACTTGGCCTGTGAACCTGAAGATGCTGTCCCTCCCTCCCTGCTTTTTCTTTCTTCCACTCTGTTTTTGAGACAGGCTCTCATGTAGGCCTAGGTTTCTTGAACTAGAAATGTAGCCAAGGATGACCTTGAACTCCTAATCTTCTTCCTCTGCCTCCTGAGTTCTGGGATTTCCAATGTGCTCCACTACAGTAGATTTTGTGCAGTTCTGAGAGTAGGACATTCTACATGCTAAGCAGGCACTCTAGCAACTGAATCCATGGACACTTTGCCCTGCTGCTCTTCACCTCTTTCCCTCTTACCAGCTTTGTGCATGCTTGCTCAGAAATCACCTGCAGACATGGGGCACAGATGTGCCCCCTAGGCCCCGCCTCTTCCCACTGTCACCCAGAAGGATGTCATACCAGTGAGGGCCAGTCAGGAGACCCAGAGTCTGCCTTGGGTTCTCTCTGCTTCTGGCCTAAGAGGGGTTCTTCCTGTGGGCCTGGCATCTGAGAGTGGATCTCACTCTGTGTCTCTGCCTCCTGCAGTGAACAAATGGAAGAAGCAGTTCCTGGTCCCACTTCTGGCCATCCCCACATGTGTTGGCTTTGGCATTCACCAGGACAAGTACAGGTGAACCTACTCACTTGGCTCTAGGGGGCGGTTTTGCACCCACCAGGGGATAAATAAAGACACGGAGACTTACTATTTATAAACACTTAGGCATTATAGCTGGGAAGATTCTCAGCTATTCTAACCTGACAAGTCTTGGCCTATAACCCTACCGCATGGCCAGTTACCTCTCTCTCACTCATTCCCAGCACCTGTTTTTTTCCATGTCACATGTTGAATCCTCCCATGTCTGATTCTTCTCTCAGAGACAATCAAAAGGTGATAGAGAAAGGGTGTTTACAAAATATGAGGCCGAGCCAGGTGCCGTAGCATACGCCTATAATCCCAGCACTCAGGAGGCAGAGGAAGGTGGATCTCTGTGAGTTCAAGGCCAGATTGATCTATAAAACAAGTCCAGTATAGCCATGGCTACACAGTAAAGCCCTGTCTCAAAAAACCAAACCAACTAAATATATATATATGCGCGCAGGTGATGGGAGCCATAAGAATAACAATACCAAAGTCTGGATAGTACTCAGCCCTCTGCCAGTTTAGCAATCAACAATTGAATATACAAAGACACCCTTCACACAGTGTACAAAATATGACCACTCCATCCAGTGGTGCCTCTGCTGCAAGAATGGGGACATAGAAAGATTGCCTTCCTTCACAATTGGCACTGTGCTTCATGACTAGGGTATGTACAGCTTGCCAACTGACAAATTTTTAAATTCAGCTTGACTTGCAAAGCAGCAGGTGGCCTGGGTGTTTGTTCCAGCAGAGTCCCATTGCCCTGTAATTGTGTTTGTTTGTTTGTTTGTTTGTTTGTAAACCTGGGCAGCAGAGCGGAAGGGAAAAAAGCAAGTGGAGGAAGCAGCAAAGAAAGTGAAGGCTAAGAGACCTGAGAGTGAGGGCTAAGACACCTAAGAGGCTTCCTGCTTGCTGAGAACCATGACGTGTGAGAACGTACAGGAAAGGAGTGAAAAGGCAGGAACATACGGGTATAGTTAGCACTGGCGGAGAGAAGTGTCCCAGCTTGCCCAGCCCAATCCCTGTGGAATGTCTTGCAGGGCTTGGCATCCCACATGTCCAGCTCCCAGGATCCTTTGTCTTCTAGGTTTCTGGTGTTCCCCAACCTGGGGAGGAGCCTTCAGTCTTCTCTGGATGACAACCCAAAGCACGTGGTGTCAGAGAGGTGTGTGCTGCAGGTGGCCTGCAGGCTGGTATGTACTTTAGAACCATTCTATATCCTCTTCAAATCCAACTTCCCCATCAGGTAGATTAATTCATCCTTATGGATGCACAGAGGCCAGAGCCCCATTGCTCCAGTCAGGTGGGTGACGATTCCCCATCAGGTCAGCCTGGAGGTGCAGCCTGGAACAAAGGGTGCAGGCTGTGCTTCCTGAGCCTGGACTCTCAGGAAGAATGGGAAATAGCAGGGTGCTGGTGGAGGAATGGTGGTAGCACGCAGAAGGGAACTTTCCAAGTCAAGGAGAATGCGTGGGCTAAGGCTGTGATAAGACAGTGGCCAAGGACCACTTAAAGAAGAGTTTATTTTGGGGCTTCCAGTTCCAGAGAGTAAATCCATGATCGCAGAGTGGCAGTAACAGTCAGCAGGTGGTAGAGGGAGGAGCTGAGCACTCTTCCAGCCATGAAACAGGCAGAGTGTGTGGGAATAGCAGGAACCTTCGAATCCTCAAGCCCAACCCCAGTAACACCTCCTCCAACAAGGCTACATCTCCTGGTGCTTCTCAAACAGTTCCACCAACTAGAGATCAAGTATTCAAGTACCCAAGACTACTGGGGGACATCTCATTCAAACCACCACAGCTTGTACAGATGTTACTTATTTACTCCTTCCTTTATTCATTCATTCCCTCATCTATGCTCTCAATAGTCACCAAATACCCAGCTTTCTCTGGCTGGAGTGGGACAGTCCTATCTTCATGACTTCATTCTCAGAGTTAGGTGGACAGAGCCCTGGCAAACAGTTGGTTTTTGGGAATGACTCCTGCTTTCCAGGTGATGCTGCACACCTTTAATCCCAGCACTTGGAAGGCAGAAGCAGAGGCAGAGGCAGAGGCAGGCAGATCCCAAGGCCAGACTCGTCTACATAGTTTCAGGACAGCCAGGGCTACACAGAGAATCCCTGTCTCACAAAAAAAAAAAAAAAAAAAAAAAAAAAAAAAAAAAAAAAGACCCCTGCTTAATGAAAAGGGGGAAGTGGAGAGCTGTAAGCACCAAGAGAGTAAGCTTGTTAGTGAGGTGAATGCCCTACTCCACACAGCTATAATGCTGTGGGGGATGAGGTCAGTGTGTGCAGAGAGCAGCAAGCAACTATCACACAGGGCTGCAGATACCAGATAAGTATCAGGATTAGGGGGTGGGCCGCTGTTGGGAGCCATGAACAGGTTGAGCAAGAGAGGCAGAAAGACCTTCAGGCCCTATGTGGTTGAGCTGGAGCAAGGAGACTAGAGGCAAGATGAAGGCTCAAGTGGAAGAAGAAGGGGCTTGTAGAACATCCTGGCTAGGGGAGGGAGAGATTGTAGAAGAACAAGTGGAACTTGATGGACATTTCAGGCCCAGAGTCAAGGAGTTGTCTGGAGATATAAGCAGGATGTGACTGACTCCCAGATGCATCCTCAGGACAGTCCAGAGCTCAGTGTAAAAGTTGGAGCTGGAGATGGAGGTAGACATTGCTGGCAAGGGCTGTAGCTCAGCAGCAGAACTCCTGCCTGGAACCCCAGTGAGGAGCTTACCAGCTGCCTCTCTTCTCTCTTAGAAAGTGAGCAGAACGCTGATGTTGGAGGCTGCTGATTATTTCTGCAGAGGGTCATTGAGTCAGCACAGGAGGCAGATGGGAATCCAAGCATGAGTTAGCTGCTGATTGCTGTAGAAAGTCTAAAGAGCCATGGGCAAGCAGGCCACCACAATGAGTGGTACTCTAGAACTTGGCAGGATACTCCCTTCACTCACAGTGTGGTGATCCCTAGATTGACAGTTTTGCTCCTTTCTCATTTGTCATGGCTCTGTCAGTCATGCCACCTTCTTCCTCCAGCTGGATGCTTTGGAGTTTCTCCATGAAAATGAGTATGTTCATGGGAATCTGACAGCTGAGAATGTCTTTGTGAATCCAGAGGATCTGAGCCAGGTAAGAGCTAGACTCCTCCAGTCCACACACAAACACATGCCTGCACACACACACACATACCTTTTACCTTTTGTGGTACTGGGGTTGTGGCTCCATTGGTAGAATGCTTGCCCAGCATGCATAAAATCCTGCATTTCATCTCTGGCACCACATAAACTGGGCATGTGTTTATGCCACACACCTGTCACCCCAGTATTCAGGGGGTGGAGACAGGAGAATCAGGAATTCAGTCATCCTAAGCTGGTACAGTAGTGTACACCTTTAATCCTAGCACGTGTGAGGCAGAGGCAGATTATCTGTGAGTTTGAGGCCAGCCTGGTCTACAAAGTCAGTTCCAGTACAGCCAGGGCTATGTAGGCCCTGTCTCAGACAACAACAATAACAACAAAAAAAGTTCAGTCATTGTCAACTACATATACAGTTCCAGGTCAGCTTGGGCTTTATGCAACCCTGTCTCCAAAAACAGTCAGGGTTAGGATTTAAATATGCAGCATCTCTCCAAAGGCTCACATGCTGGTGGTACTTTAGAACCTGAGGCGGGCGGAGTGCTGGGAGTCCAGGCAAGGTAAAGAGAACAAAGCAGCCAGTGTGTTGAATGCGTAATCCCCAGCTTAGTGTCCAGGGTTGGGTCTAGTGTCTGACTCCACACTAGACCTATCTCTGTTGTTGGTGCACTGTCTTTGTGAGGTAGTGGAAATCAGGAGTGGGGCCTCAGGACAGGCCTTTCAAGGATGTATCTTGTCTTGTCCCTGTCCCGCTACCCCCCATCGCTCTCTCAGCTCCCCAGCCACTGTGAGGTGAGCAGGCCCACTACACACTTGGTCCACCATAATGTTCAGTCCCACCTGAGGCCCAAAGCAGGGATACGGCTGAATTTATGCCTAATCTTCTGCAACCAATAGCCAGCCACAAACCTTCCTCTTCACAGCTGTTGGGGATTAGATCCACAGCTACTGACACAGCGTCTCTACCCACGCTGGTAGCTGACACCAAGGCTGCAGCTTTAATCCCAGGTCTGTGTGCCTTCTTTTCACAGATGACCTTGGCGGGCTATGGCTTTGCCTTCCGCTACTGCCCGGGTGGCAAACACGTGGCCTACAAAGAAGGCAGCAGGAGTCCACACGAGGGGGACCTGGAGTTCATTAGTGTGGACGTGCACAAGGGATGCGGTGAGAAGGGCTCAACGCCATGACACACACTTCTCCATGGGTTCTTGGTCATGGGCAATAGACACCAGAAATGGAAACATATAAAGGGTACAGTGGTGGGGACTGGGAATATAGACAGAGTCCTGACCATGTGAGGATTTATTCCCTTCTTCAGCACCAAGAAGACCTGCATGGTGGCCTTTGCGCAGTGGGGATATGGGTTTAGCACCGAGGACTGTGAGCAGCTACATAGGCCCCTGTATTCCCCGAGGCTCAGATTTCCATTCTGGCAGAAACTTGGGAGATGATGAGTGCTGCGTTAGAGTCACCCAGGAAGGGCAGTTGGAGAAACAGGCCATCCTTGACTGAAGCAGGAGATCTTGGTGGTGGTGTGGGAGTTAAGCATGGAACAGAAGAGGATCAGCTGTCAGGGGATTAGATACACAGCTACTGACACAGGGAAAGTATGCAGAAAGGGTGACGGCCCTATACAGATTACTCAGCCCCGATTTCTTGAATCTCAATATGATCATACATCTGCCTGTGCACATGCTTCCATCAGACTAAGGTCCCTGAGCAGGGTTGGTGGCTGTACTGCTCTCGGGGCAGGAGGTGAAATGACTGGTTCTTCATGCTGCTGCGTTCTCTGTGATGAGGTAGCTTAGGGCTGCAGTCTTCTCCCACTTACCTGCTTGGGAGATGAGAGAGCAGGCCTGGTGCACAGCTACCCAGGACTCATTGGGCAAGTGTGTTAACAAAAGGTGACCAGGTGTGGGAATGGGGTACTGGAGTGAGTGACAGGCAGCAAAGTATGTGAGAGTCATAGGGAAAATAAGGGAGGCTGTGGACTGAGCAGTGATGGCTAAGGCAGTTTTCATGGCTGGGTGGTGGAGAGTTGGAGGTAGACACGTGAACAGATGGAGCATCAGACTAAGCCACTGCCTTTTCTCCCCAGGGCCCTCCCGCCGCAGTGATCTCCAGACCTTGGGCTACTGTATGCTCAAGTGGCTTTATGGGTCTCTGCCATGGACAAACTGCCTTCCCAACACCGAGGATATCACAAGGCAGAAACATAAGTAAGTGCAAGGGCCTGCATCACCCAATACTAGCCCAGGCACCCCTTCAGGTAGGACAGGAGCTCAGATCCCAGCAGGGAGCAGAGGGGAGGTGGCCACCCACAGAGCCTCCCCAGGGTCATCTCCTGGCCTGCTGTTCTGGGTGCTGGGAGAGAACCTTGACTTCTGTGAGCCCTGGTCTCCTCCCATTGTGAACTGCTATACAGCTAGCACTTGAGTCACAAGCTGTGAAAGCTCAGGAGTGAACACACTCTCTCTAGGGTTTCATGTTCACTTCCTGCAGGACACTCAGCTCATTCACAGGCTGCAGTCTGGGGGCCTGCACCCCTGGCAACCCTGCCTCCGTATCCTGTTGGTCTCAGCATGTGAGTCTCTAGATCCTGGCAGTTGTAATTTCAGCCTTTGCTCTGGACAGAGGGACGCGCGGCACTGGGGTTCAGCACCGAGGACAGCTACAAGTTAGCATTGGTGCTGGAGGACCACCATTCAGCACCGAGGACAGCGGCAGGAAGTCCTCAGGAAATGTGGCATCAGCTGGGTCCCTAGGGTGTTGCTTCAGCACCAAGGACAGCAGACACCCGGTCCTGGGGAATCCCTGAAGGGCCTGGGTCTACATAACTGGATGGCAGCAGGGGACCCTGACCATCCAGTATGGCCTTCACAGGAGGCTCGAGTCCAAACGGAGATCAGACCTCCTGTCTGTCTGTCTGTCTGTCTGTCTTGAAGGTTGTTAGCTGGAAGCCTGGCGAATGAGCTTTCTGAGAAGGAGCACTCCAGGGAACATCCACCAGGCTGCTATGCTTCTCTTCTTGGGTTACTTTGCCTACTTGGTTATTGTGCCCCCATCATGCCTGCAACTTAACTCTCCTGTTGCAGCCACAACATGTGGTGCTGTTTCCACAGCCATACAATAGTTCCCTTTTTAAATGAAGCTCAGAGGAGTGAGCAGATGGCCCAAAAGCTAAAAGATCAGGAGTGGCAGGTTAGTGAGATGCTCCTGTGGCTTGGACTAGGCACAAAGCAGGGATCCCACAAACACTGCAGCTTAAACAGGTATGCTTGTTTATGTCTCCCCAACACACATCAAGTTTCCCTGTGCTCACATCCTGTACCCATATTTCCTGGCAGCAGAGGATTACACTGTAGGTGTCTAAGACAGAGTGGTGCCATAAGCAGTAAGGAATGCTGCGGGCCAGCCTGTACTGAGTGTGGACACAGAGGTCGTGTAGCAAGAAGCAGCCAGAGCGGGTGAGGGTGGTCTGGGCCAGTGAGGGAGTAGAGACACCTTTTTGCAGAAAGCTTTTACTCATGGGGCAGATGGTCCCAGGAGTCTGCAGATAGGCCAGAGAGAGGCAGGAGTTCTAGGCAGGCAGAGGCACAGGCACTTGACCTCTTTGCACTCATTAATTCATCCATCTAGTCAGCTGGTCATTTTGGGTGTCCTGAGAGCATCCATGGGCCTGTTGTGTGTGACTAGGACCCAGCTATGAATTGGGTCAGGATGCCTCTGTCTCCACACTGAAGTACCCCTGGGTTGAATGCTCTTCCCCATCCCATGTACCTTCCTTTTTCTGAGACTTAGAGGAATAGGACATGCTTCATAGACAGCTCCCAAATAATAACCCAGAGACCTTTTATTATTAATGCTTGCCTTAGCTTTGGCTTGTTCCCCAACTAGCTCTTATCTTAAATTGTTCCCTTTTTATTAATCTACTTTCTGCCATGGGGTTCATTACCTTTCCTCAGCACTGGCCCCTGTTTCTTCCTCCATGTCCAGCTGGCGACTCCTCAGCGCCTCTTTCTTTCCCAGCGTTCCCATCTGTGCCTTGAAGTCCCACTTTCCTTTCCTGCCTTTGCTTTTGGCTGTTCAGCTCTTTGTTAAACCAACCAGAAGGTGTTGGAGGGAGTGTTTACAAATTATGATACAGCCAAAGAATAACAATAGCAAAGTCCAGCCTGTACTCGGCTCTCTGCTGGTACTTAAATGAACATTTGAATATACAAACAATCATGTAAATACCTAGTATTCACAAAGATCACCTCAGCATCCTAATTTTCAGCATGTCTCTGGGACATTGCAATGAGTGTGGTGTATGGCCTTTGGCATTGACTTCGGTGGTGGCGGCAGTGGCTGTGTTTGTGTGTGCAGAATCCAGAGGACAGCATTAGGTATGATTTCACAGGTACCATCCACAAGAATGGCCTGAACCTTGCAGCAATCCTCCTGCCTCATCTTCCCAGGTTTTGGGATTACAAGTGTGAGCCCTATGCCTGGCTTCACTTGAGGTAGGAAGAAAGGAAAGGAGAGAGCAAGAGATGAAAGAAGGGAGAAAAAGAGGAGAAGATTAGAGGGAGATAGAAGGAGGGATGGGGGAGTTGGATTCACCTCTCCTCCAAATAAGACTGTTTTGGACTCTGTCTTGCTCGTGCCTTGCATTTTGCCTGAGCGTGGAGCCACACCCAGCTTTTCCTGCACACCAGCATTGCCAGGGCAGCAGACCTCGGCAGAAGGGACTGGCATTTTCTGCCTGGAGCAGGCCAGGGAAGCTTTAAGCTTTGTTTAGCAGCTAGTTTAGCAGCTGTTAAGCTTTGTTCCAGGAGGAGAGCAGCCACCTGCCAGGGATTGGGATCAAGGTGGGAAAGGCCAAGCCAAGTGACTTATTTGGGCTTTCTATGTTGCAATGAAACAGCATGACTGAAAAGCAAGTTGGGAAGAACAGACTTTATTTGGCTTACAATTCCACATTGTAGTCCATCATTGCAGAAAGTCAGGACAAGAACTCAAAACAGGGCAGGAACCTGGAAACAGGAGCTGCTGCAGAGGCCCTGGAGAGGTGCTGCTTACTGTCTTGCCCCTTGTGGCTTTCTCAGCCTGCTTTTCTTCTTAGAACCCAGAACTACCAGCTCAGGGATTCTACCACCTACCGTGGGCTATACCTTCCCGCATTGATTAGTAGTTGAGAAAATGCCTTACAGCTGGATCTCTTGGAGGCACTTCCTCACTGAGGCTCCTTCCTCTCTGATGACTCCCAATCAGTATACCAGGCATCACAGTAGAGTGGAAGGTGTGAGTGATGGTAAGGCCTGTGAGTCTGGGAGTGTGGAACAGGGGAGGACATGATGGAGACCAGGCCACAGGGGCTGCTGGTGGGCATTGTGTGTCTGAATTTTTAATTGCACTGAGGAGGAACAGGGCTGGGCCTGGTCAGAGAGAGACCATAGGGCCCTTATTGAATCGCAGAGCAGGAGGCCTGCGGTAGATCCATAGCCAGGACAGGAGCATAGTCAGAAGGGAGCCAGGCACAGTGGCGCAGGCCTGTAATCTCAGCACTAGAGGAGGCAGAGGCAGGCCAATCTCTTTAAGTTCAAGGCCAGCATGGTCTACAAAGGTAGTCTAGGACAGCCGAGGTTACACAGAGAAACAAACCAACAAACCAACAAACAAAAAGGAGTAGGAGAGGGGCAGGGCCCTTGGGAAGGGCCATAAGCACTGTCTGTCTTTCGTAAGTGGGCTGTGTGTGTGTGTGTGTGCGTGGAGGACTCTTCATCTTAACACTCACTCTCCTTTCTCATGTGCTTCTCCCCTGAAGGTATCTGGACTGCCCTGAGCCCCTCGTGGGACTGTGTGGCCGCTGGTGCAAGGCCTCAGGTATGCCCTAAAGGGGGAGGCGCCAGCAAGCTTGGAAGCCTTTCTTCCCTACTGCCTCTTTCTTTTTTTGAGTTTTCCCAATTGCATGTGTATTGTATGTGCCTCCTGTCAGACAAAAACAAACAAACATGTAAAAATGCCTCCCAAAAGTAACACTGTTAAAAACATGCACATTGTTGGAGCTGGGAATACAATTCAGGGCCAGTTCATGCTAGGCAGGCACTTGCCACTGAGCCCCATCCTCAGGAGTGAGTGATGGTAAGGCCCGGGAGTCTGGGAGTGTGGGACAGGGGAGGACGTGATGGAGCCCAGGCTACATGTTTGTTTTCTTTTACTTTTAATTGAACTTGACACATTTTTTTGACTTGATAGAGACCCTTCTGTAGTAACCTAGACTGGCCTCACACTCACCATGTTCCCCAGTCTGGCCTTGGAACCCTGGTTCTCCCTCCTCCTCCCAAGTGCTGGGATCACAGGCAAGCACCTGGATACATCACTGTTTTTAAACTTTTGTTGATTTATTTTTACTTTCATTTATTTATTTATCTGTCTATCTTGTATGTGTCACAGCACGAGTATGGAGGTAAGAGGACAACTTCAGGGCTCTCTTTTTGGAGTTGCTGTGTGTTCTGGGATCTAACTCAGGTTGTCAGTCTTGGTGGCAAGTGCCTTTACCCACTGAGCGCTATTGATGGCCCTGTAATTGTAAAAATTTTATTTTCTTTTATTTTACGTACATTGGTGTTTTGCCTGCATTTGTCTGTATAACGGTGTTGGATCCCCTAGAACTACAGTTATAATTGTGAGCTGCCATGTGGGTGCTGGGAATTGAACCCAGGTCCTCTTGAAGAGTAGCCAGTGACCTTAACCACTGCGCTATCTCTCCAGCCTGGCTCTGTAATTTTTTTTTTTTTTGCACTGTTTTAATAGAATACTATTACCCACTTTGGGTTCCTGTTTTTCCTTATTTCAGACAAGTGGATTGCAGAGGTTTCTTACATTAATACTCGTGAGGTTTTGTTGTTTGAGACAAGGTCTCACTTTGTAATCCTGGCTGGCCCGGAACTCACAGAGATCCACCTGCCACTACCTTCAGCAATTTCTAGGGTTTTTTTTTTTTTTTTTTAATTAAAAAGTACATAATATCTTTGTCTTTAATGATGAATTATAGGCTGGGAGGATGGCTCGATGGGTAAAATGTTTGTCATATAAGTGTGAGGGTCTGTGTTCAGATCCCCTGGGCCTAACGTGAAGCTGGGTGGAGTTCACACTTCTGTAAGCCCCATGCTCCCACAGCAAGATGGGAGGGGAAATAGAAGAACTCTTGAAGCTCACCACCCAGCTAGTCTTGAATACATAGCAGCAAGACTATAGACCTTGCGTCAAACAAGGTGAGGACCAACACCCAAGGTCATCAGACCTCTACATGCATGGTGACACACGTGTACCTGTATGTACATGAACAAGCTTACAGGCATACACACAAAGATTTTAAAACATGCGGTGGTGGTTTTGTAGTACTGAATTAATTTAGTGGATTAATTAAAACTTGAAAAAAAAAGTTGGGGGGAGGCTAGAGAGACGGCTCAGTGGTTAAGAGCACCAGGCAGTGGTGGCATATGCGTTTAGTCCTAGAACTCAGGAGGCAGCGGCAGGCAAATGTCAGTAAGTTCAAGGCCAGCCTGGTTCACAGAGTGAGTTCCAGGACAGCCAGGGCTACACAGAGAAACCCTGTCCCAAAAAAAGAAAAGAAAGAAAAAGGACTACTTACTGCTCTTCCAGAGGACCTAGGTGCTATTTTCAGAACCCGCATGGCCGCTCACAGCCATCTGTAACTTTAGTTCAGGGGATCTAATGTGCTTTTCTGGCCTCTGTAGGTAGTACATACACGTTACTCATAAACACACATAAGTCATAAATAAGTTTTCAAACACTTTTTAAAAAGTATGAGGACTGTGGGTGTACCATACAGAGGTGCTTGAAAAGCATGTGCGAGCTCTCAGTACCCCACCTCCAAAACTCAACACTTAAACCAAGGAGAATTCTGTAGCATAAGCATTGAGAGTCCTGTCACACACACTCTCACAACCCTGCTTTCCAGAGTAGCCTTTGTCAGTGCTGTCATGGTGAAGATGTTTCCCGGCAGTTGTTGCTGTAAGAGGGCCAAAGGCAGATGTTTTTTTAAGGTTTATTTTTATTTCATGTTGTCTGTATGTATGTCTGTATGCACCAGGGTTATGCAGTGCCCATGGAGGCCAGAAGAGGTGTTAGGTTCCCCCAGACTTGGAGTTACAGATGATTATGGGCCAACAGGTAGGTGCTAGGAATTTAACCGATGTCTGAAGTGCTTAACGGGTGGTATATGGCTCTTCTGCTGAGCATCTGGGACCACAGTGCTGACTGTTCCATGTAGCTTTTTCCTTCTGTAAATCACTGGCAAGGTCCAGGGCCCCAGTTCAGGTCAGGTCTGCTGTGCAGGGTCCCAGTGGGGTAGATTCATCGGCCTAGAGCAGTCTCAGGCCAGCCTATGAGGTAGGGAGTTATGCTCAGTGCCAGGGAAGGAGATGAATGTCAGGGTTGTGGGGACAAGAGCCCTGTGCATGCCACCACTGTTCACTGCATCTGCAGTTGGCTCCTGTTCTTTTGTTTTGTTTTGTTTTTATTTATTTGTTGCTTGGTTGGTTGGTTGGTTGGTTCTTCAGCACAGGGTTTCTCTATTTAACCTTGGCTGTCCTGAACTCACTTTGCAGACCAGGCTGGCCTCAAACAAATGGCCACAGAGATACGCCTGTCTCTGCCTCCCTGAGTCCTGGGATTACAGGCATGTGCCACCTTGCCTGGCTCCT